AAGACGGGAACTCCTGTGATTGGTTCGGTGTTTCAACGCATGTATGTATGTGTCATGAGTTTCAGTGCAAGTTCGTATATATGTATGTAAGTCAGTGTATATTTGTAAATGTGTTTATAATGCCAGTTCATTTATGTATGTCTGTATGTACACCAATACATATCTGGTTGTCTGTTATGTAGCAGTGTCCTACATATCTGTGTGTGTCTCGCCAAGGTGTCTCATAACTCAGGAGTGCTAAACATTAATTAAACTTTGCACATCCTTGAGGTAACAAACTGGAAAAACAAGACCCTAAATTCTACCTTAACTTAACCTAATACGGTACAGGCACCCTGGACTCGGTACAGAGTGATTCACACGTTACTGCCTCACCTCACTATAGTCTCTCTGATACACTTGACCATTAAGTTATCCCCTGCCTGGTCTGGTCTTACTCGAGTTCGTGAATAATTACATCATCTTGTTCCCTCTTTTCATAGTTCCATAACCTGACTGTGGCAGTTATTAAATGAATGGGTCGCTTCCTCTGGTAGCAATACTATATTTCTGTAATTTTGTGTCGTTCCTGTGGCCTTATTTAACGTAGTTTGTTTCGTTAACTAATGATTAATATAAAAACAAACAGTTGTGATATTCGGGCTTTCATTTGGCATTGACGGATTTCTATAATATTCATGAGCGTGTATGAATGTACAGTCAGCGACCCGACCCTAACTTTCGTATTCACAATTTTATCTGGTAATACTTGGTGAAGGGAGGCTGTATGTAATGGGAATTGTGATTGGTGGATCTATTTTTTCCTCTATCACTGTCAGGATAAATATCAATCAAATCAAAGGTAGAATTTTTATAATAATAAACTACTCGTTATTTAAGATCATGAGAAGTTTCCAAATGTTCGTAAAAATGATTAAAAAATGAAGAAATTATATGAATGAATTGGCAACTCAACTACAACGAGGGCTGCCACAAGATTCTCAGATCAAATTTTCTTCATTATTTAAACAAATAAAATTGCGAGTACAAGACCAAAAAGGGTGGGGTCACTAGATCTTCGGTTGGGTGTACGCACCTGCTTATACAAATTTGCATATCTAAATATTTATACGTGTGCATGAATTTACATGTACTGTGAAGCGAGTTAAATTTATCAAATGACTCAAACATGAAAAAAATATTATCACACGTCATTTCGTAAATTGCGGCTAAATTATCACGTCAAGTGTCAGTTTTGGACATGTGCGACACATGTGGTTGACTTGCTAATATAGTAGAGCTCACAACAAGTACACAGCCGTGACCTCCCACAAGAAGACAAGAAAGTACAAATTATAATTATTAATGACTTAACATCCACAGGAATTCAGACATCCACATCTGAATCCGTACAATTTTATGTGGGTGTAATGTAACTTTTTTTTTTAATTTTACACTGGTAGTATTCTTTTAATACAACTAATTCTAAGCTTGGTAATCCTGTTGTTTAGGTGCGTAGATAAACTGTGTTATTTTATGCAAACAAAATAATTAATAATATTATTGTGAATATATTACAAATCAGGTCGACAAAATAACTGGAACTGTGAAATGATCGAAATAATACGAAAACAAAGTGCGAAAATGATGTGATGGTGAACATGGGAGTTGCCGCGTCAGTGTTTGTTTACATTGAGCACAGTATTAGATTACAGGGTATATGGGTTTTGTGATGCTGAACTAGTAATAATTTATTATCCTGATTACGTCCACAACGCTCCCATCAATTACGCTATCATCTACACAATTTACACTGCATCAACAACTAAACTATCACTTTTATGTTTTTGTGACGAGGGGTTCCACTTTTGGGGGTGCGGGCGGGGAACGCGAGGTGGGAGACTAAAGGGCCCAACCCTCACTATTTCACTTTTGGGACACTTCAGTCCTCTCTGTTCAAAACAGTCGCCGTTTATAGTGAGCAAACACTTGGTAAAACATCATTAGACTTTCTACATGACGACTGAAACACAGATGGGAACCAGTACAAACACTGCAGTCAATTAAAATCAAAGTCGGGCTTAAACATGAATTTGAGTCACTGAAACCAAGTGTGCTAAAAAATAAATAAAATAAATATAAAACACACACAAAGGAGCCCAACGTTATAAACACAATGGTTAATCACTCACAAAATATTAAAAAACACAGCACAGTAGATCAGTTAACCTCTCGTTGTTATATAGTGAAGGTGATAACTGAAAATGACTCTAGTTTTATGGGGTGATCTGCATCAAGAGTGTGTTGACGAATACCTGTGTTGGATTGTTAGCGGCTTGTTTGTCCATTGGCCTACGCAAATGCTCAAAGCAGCGGGCCTTAAGTTGACGTTTTGTTTTCCCAATATAAATCCCATTAAAGCGATGACACTCGTATACTACAGAAGACTACAGTTCATTAGGCATCACAACTTTAAACGTAAAAAAAGCTTTTAATGGTTCGGTTTGGTTTAAAAGTTACCCTGACATGTGTACTTGAGGGTAAAATCATCTGATCAGCCGACGCAATTAACTCCTTAAGGAAAAGCTTAATCTCAGTATATTACCCCGGCGGCCGCTAAAAAAATTATTTCTCCGCCACCTCTACAATCCCCTAATCGCCCGCCGGTCACGTAGCTTACGAACGCTGACAAGGGTTTTACATTGTTAATGAGGACAAACTTTTGGCAACTAATCCTATTAAGATCAACCATGAAGTTTGTAGACGATAATTACAGGATACCGTAGTATTACACCAGATGAAACTCAAAATTTTAATTCGTCCTCAGCTAAGAAACTTTAAAACATTAGTATCGGTAAAACAGCCATATCACCCGGTCAATCAAGCAAGGAAAAACAAATAAATAAATGAAATAGCTTCTGATTACCCCCTTTTCACACTATCTTTCCGCGGCACCAGGACACGGCATTGGGAGGTAGACAAAAATAATAACTCTGTGTACACACCTCATTATCTACGCTGGGTGGTGTTCCTGGAGGTGAGGAGGGACGTCACTGTCAACACTTCACTGTCTGAGGAGCAACTGCTGGCCAACACCGAGAACAAAGCCACCGACACCAGCTGGGTGTTGTTGTGTGTGTGACGCTGGATTACTGAGTAGGCAAACTAGTAATTGAGTAGTTAGCTCTACCTATAGGCCCTGATGACAGATACTATAAAGTTATCCCTAATACTTAGATAAATACATAGACATATATGAATAGATATATGGGTAGCCTATAGATTTAGTGGGCATTTCAACAACAATTTTAATAACACGTAAAATGATCACACAACCAGGCAGTTTTTGTTAGCTTAATCGTGTCTGTTGTCAGCTATTGGTTGTGAATCCAGGTAAAAAAGTCACAGGTAAAAAAGTCACAAAAAAAGTCACAGGAAAAAAGAAAAGTTAACTATCGAATTCTCACATTTTTTAAGGTTAATATGTCAATCAGTTTCAGTAACCTAACCTAACCTTTATTACCGGCCACCATAAATAAATTGTGACTTTTTTTCTGTGACTTTTTTTCTGTGACTTTTTTTCCTGTGACTTTATTACCGGCCACCTTGGTTGTATATATATCGCCGAGAATTTTAGGAGGCCCGGTGATGATACAGTGTGCAAGACAATATACTATATGTCTCACCAGCGAACTTGTAATTAAACATCTCACTTGTCAGAGCATCAGGTTATGTCTAGTTATCAAGTCTTCAGACACTGTACTGATGTGTTTAGTAAATACGAGAAATTGTGTAAATTGTGAAGGTTATTAACATGCACAGCCCCGGGATGAGAGCAATATATAATGTTCCCTGGTGGCTGAGATGAATGGTAGGTTAACAGCTGTGAATAAGATTATGTAATTGTGGGCAGCCCTTCCCAGACACCTGTTGGCTCACAGTCAGTAAGACTAGAGTTGTCAATACACCACAGTATATCGGTACCCTCCTCAGTACCCCACGCTCAGGATAATTCAATACTCATGTCGATACCCAAAAGTAACCCCCCATACAATGCCTCCAGAATATATCAGTATTTTTGTCAATATTCCAGGACACATCAATACCCCGCCAGTATCCCCGGGGCCTAACGAGGAAGGTCTCCCTCAAGTATCCACTCAGGAAAAAGTTTTTACCCACATTATCAAGTGATGTTGTGGAGAGTGAAAGTTAGTGAGAGTTAACGCACCCCAGCCTGACCCCTCCACGGACCCCCAGCCTGACCCCTCCACGGACCCCCAGCCCGACCCTCTACGGAGTCCAGTTTGGTCCAACCCCTCCTTGGATCCTCATTCAACTCGAACCCTCCAAGGCCTCCAATCCGGTCTCCCTCTCCCCTCCCTCCTTCCTCCCTCCTCTATTATCCCTTTTCCTCCCTCCCTATTATTCCTTTTCTTCCCTCGCTCCCCTCCCCATAAACCACTCCTTAAGATAGCCTTCTGCTCTACTGTAATCAGACCATACCGTTTACAAACTATTCCATCATTATAATAGAAAACACTGTACATTGAGTTTAATCTTTGCAATCTTTATATAAATTAAATCTATGCCCCTTTTATTTATTTATTTATTTATTCTTATGGGAATTAGACCACCCGGGAACAGGTCACTGACTCACATATGGGCCTGGGGGTGATAAAAGCAAAAGAAGAAACAAATTGCATCATAAAAAAATACAGATATTGAAAAAAATGAAACAGATCAAGAGTGGGAAACAATATACATTATATGTTGTGTTGTCAAAGTAAGAGAAACAATTGAGACCCTGCAACTGTGTGTAAATGAGGCAGAAAGTAAGTCAGATCATCAACCTGGGACTTGGTCACATATGGCAGCAGGGTCCACCACTAGACAACACATTATGCTTCCAATATCTTCCCAGGTGGTAGTACCTCCCTGTTTGGTAGCTGCCTACTACCTCCTACCTTTAGTCCTTTGAATATTTCTTAGTATACCTTGCTAGGGATATTAATATAATAGCATACAGTAATATTCCTTTAATTACGATATTTACAGACAATAATTATGTTCATTTATACAGGATTCTCACAAATGCCAATAATAAGTTGGTGTAGGAATGACGTACTGTACCTTCCCATGAGTTGTTCTTGGCACTCATTATGTGGTCACCTCACACGTCCTTAAGGCACTTGATCTAACATCTAATCAGACTAACAGCTTAATGCAAAAAAAAACCCGCATTATTTACCCTATTATTTATTAAGTCTATGGACAGTAGGAGAAAATTGTTAACCATTACTAACAGTGATCATTAGTGGCATTATAGCATCACAACACAAGAGTATTAAGAACAATTCATGGAGTTTAGTGGAAACTCGACGTCAAAATTTTTAGTAAAATTTACAAGACAACTATATTGATATGTATATATTGACTCTCCACTGATAATAGTGTAGTTTTTAGGTCAATTTATATCCATTCGTAATCCCTCTGTTGCAACTAAAACCTGACCGAGTGTGTGTGTTTCTTGGTCGCTTTCCTGCAAGTGTGAGAAAAGTTGCATTTGACTCTTGTTTGGCTTAGTGAAGTGCTTGTATATGTCAACAGATGGCCCGGGTGAATCATTAACTTCACAAGGAAGTAAAAAATGGCTGAAATGAGTCTTTTTGCCAGACAGACATTACAACACACATATTGTTCCATTTTTTTCAATTATTTCAGTTGTCGATGAGCCATTGTTTTAGGAGTTGTTTATTTTACGTGTACATGACTGGTGGTAGTACAAGGCTAAGAGGTTCGTTTAACATCATTACAGAGGGACGTCAAACATGGTGGTTACGTATTGTGTTCTCTCATCCTAAGTTTTGGTACAAATCTTTAAAAATCCTCGCACTATGAAGCAGGATAGGATGAGGGAGTTAGGGCGAGGGAACTAGGGTGAGGGAGCTAGGGTGAGGGAGTCAGGGTGAGGGAGGAACATACACAATAGTCACAGATTGGTGGTAATAATCATGTCTATTGTAACTCAAAAAGAGAGTACAAGATTAATTATTCCTTCCACGTCTGTACATGTAACTACAAAAACCGGTGTTCAACTTACCACTACTACTACTTCTACCACTATTATTATTACTACTACTACTACTACGGACTCGGGGCACCCCAAGCTGAGCCAGTATAAATCATGATGACTTGTGAGTTGGGAAGTGAATGCAGGTATATGCAGTGTCGGCCCCCTGTGCTTTATAGGGCCCCCTTTGACGACTACTACTATAGCCGTTACTACTAATATGACTGCTACTACTGCTATTGCTCTTACTAACACCATTCCCACTAATGCAAAAACTCCTGTCAATACTTTATTTACTAATCCAGTTACTACCAATATTATTAAACAAAAATAATAAACGCTGCATTATTACCACTAACCTAACCTAACCTAACCTAACCTAACTGGTAACCAATACATTTACTACAACTGCCTTTACAACAATGATTGTCTCTACTGCTACTAGCAATATATGTTAACTACTATCAAAACTAACACTAACTCCCAAAAAATTTCAAAACTTCATTATTACCACACAACCACAGTGGCTCAGTTGACTCTACAGCCACAGGTGATGTAGTGTGCTCGTGGCCTCACCTGTACACGTAGTTACCTGTGTTTCCCTCGCTGAGCTCGGCGCCAGTTACTTGACCTTACAAGCGACCATAAAACCTGTGGCTAGATCACATGGTCGCCTCTCCTCAAGTTGATCATGAAAATGTTTGTTAAGAAAACTTGGACCTTGTGGATGCTCTTCTTCCCTGTTACCTTGACTCTTGTTGGATACGAAGGTAGATTATCTAATAATTGGTTAATCTATTACTATACAAGCGAATAATGCACATCTCACCATCAGTCACATGAGTCAGCGTAAGAATCATCTATAAGTGAATGTTTTAGACGAACAGATAAACTTGATGTGTTAACTGTGGCATCATAGCCTGGGCACTGTGTCATAGTATAGGCTCGGCAAGAACAACTCTCTCTTGACCACCTAGTCGTAAGATAGGTCAGCCAGGGTGAACCTTCCTCCTACCAGGAGTGGAACCTCGTGTGAACCACCACGGTGACCCTGCAGCTCCTGTGTAACACTTGAGGCGGTCTACTGTACACTCACGCAAAGGTGGCGTGAGGGCGTCGACGAGGCTGGATAACTTATTCCTTCAAGACTAGCATGAGGTCGTAGTTGTAGTCGTGGTAGTGGGCGTAGTTATAGTTGTTGTGGGCGTGGTCGTATTCGTGGTGGTGGGCGTGGAAGGTCAGGTGCGGGCGTGGTCGAGGCTGGAGAACTTGTACCTGCAGGGCCAGCGAGTGTCTATGTCGTGGATGGGGATAATTTCCTCGGACGGCTTCTCCCCCGCCAGCTGCTCGCGCATCTGAGACCACACCAGTGTTAGTGGGGGTAGTGGCGGGTGGTAGGGGTGGGGGGGTAGTAGTAGTAGGGTGGTGAGTGGTAGTAGTAGTAGTGGTGGTGGTGATGGGGGTAGTAGGAGTGGTGGTGGTGGGGTTGTAGTAGTGGTGGTGGGGGTAGTGGTTGTGCTGGTAGTGGTGAAGCATAAGTAAGGATCTAATTAAGGTAAATACATAAAAAACTCACTTGAGATCATTACAACTATCCACAGAAAATACTGGAGTCATTTTATGCAATCATTTCATTAACTGAGAAATAATGATAATAATAATAATAATAATAATTACCTGATACATTAATATCTAGAGAAAATGAAATGTGAATTGTATGATAAAGATGACAATGTGTGGATGACCAAGAATGTTTTTACTATTGACTTATCTTAACTTCTTGCTAAACAGTCACTGACGTATGACTGTATTTAAAGACAGTCTATCACCACTTACTGACTACATAAATTATAGAAAACAGCATTCAAAATATATTAAATCCTTTAATGAACTGTGAGGTGGTGAATGTCCAGTCATTAAGTGTCAGCAAATTGTTTATGTAGTGGGGAATCGTGCGGTGATGACGTGTCCAGCAGTTAACACTCCAGTGACAAGTTGTCTGGTAGGTTATGGTTCAGTGTCAAATTATCTGGTGAAAATAATTGTCTAGCGGCCAAGTGACGTGTGAGAAACTGTCTGGTGGAATGTGTTCACTGACAAAATCCGGTCATGAACTGTGTCCGGTAATATTGTCCGGTAATATTGTCCGAACACTGAAGGACAGTCATGCGAAAAATCTTTTGTATTGTGTTTGAGATTTTTTTTTCTATTTCATCTCTCTCTCTCTCTCTCTCTCTCTCTCTCTCTCTCTGTATGTGAGCAGCATCAGGTTTGTCTCCAAGTTAAACTCATAAAGGAGGATTTTGGCGTGACACAACAGTATCATTGTGGCACAGGAAGCAACAGCACCATTATATTTCAGTCTTGGTCACGCCGGTGTCAGGACGCCCTCAATGACCTGTTAGTGCTGTAAATATTTATATTATACCATAAACACTTAACTATATTTTCATTATTTTCTCCTTTGTTTCCTTATGTCTTGTTTATCAGTAATTATGTACAAATTTACTCTTGTCACAGCTCATGATTATTTACATCATTCTATTATCATCAGTCAACGAATTGGTCGCACTAACTAGCAATGCTAAAAAAGATAAACAAAAAAGCAGCATATTTTCTCAACCTCCTGTAATATCTCTACAACCTCCATCCAGCGCCAGGTCGTCTCCCAATCAGAACAAAGTAAGTCAATTTTTGTCTTTGCATTGGTTCTTTCTTTCCCATCAGACTCCTCCTGCTCTCATCCCACGGTGTCTCAGGAATCCCTCAAAGCACAATCTGCTCGTATCAACATTTACATATTAGAGTTTGGTGGACATAAAGTGCGTGGCCGGGAGCTGAGGCAGATTGTCTGGGTATCTGCGTTATATTACAAGAAGGAAAGAAATAACCAATCTGTGTCAGCTTATTGGCTGCCTTAGATCAGTGTCAGCATCTTGCTCTCTCTCCCTGGTCAAATATCCTCCTCCAGGGCTGTCAGTCGGTTTCTTCCTGCTGACGTTTGTTGATGGTTACGAGCAGTGTGCACATTGTTTAACACACGCACATGCATATTGGATAGAAGGTGAAGACACACACACACACACACACAGCAGAAGTAACATCGTAATAACAAGAGATCGTCAACACCACCACCAGTACCTGCTCCACTTTCCTCAACACCCGCAGGAGGTTGAGGCCCGCCAGCTTCTTGAGGTCCTGAAGAGACCAGGAGGTATCCTTCAGCAGCTCGGCGAACAGTTCAGGATACCTGGACACATCCTCCAGCCCCGCGGGAGTCCTGTAGATGGAAGACCATATCCTTAACATAACTGCTGACGAAAGAGGTAGCGGATAATGTACAATGTCAACCTGAATAATAATAATAATAATAATAATAATAATAATAATAATAATAATAATAATAATAATAATAATAATAATAATAATAATAATAATAATAATAATATATTACAGAATCGTATCACTGAGTTAACATACAAAAACAAGAATCAAATAGGAACAAACTTGGTACGAAAATAACCATCCTTTGTTCAATGTGTTCAAACAAACCCCCATGTCTTTTAATCATCTAAAAAAAAGAATCACATCCACATGAGTTCACTCCATTCATCTCCACCCTAAGACACGACCCCACACACAACTGGGGAAACTATATCGCTCAACGTGTGATTGGCATTCATGAATGTTAATTAGACAGATGGGTGAGAGAGAAAAAAGAAAACGTTTTCTTTCCTACTGACAAAGGTAAATTATGTCTGTCTGTCTGTCTGTCTTTGATCTTATACCACCCCCCACACACGCGCGCTCGGTGAATCCAGTCCCATTCCCTATCGTCTTGTGGGCCCTCAGATTACATGTTCCGTAATCATCTTATGGAGAGAGAGATTATATAGTCTTCAAGTCAGACCAGAGAGAGAGATGAAGCCTCCTAACAGCCACTTCTGATAACGTAAACAGATACTGGGAGGAGAGCTTGTTGTCTAATATACCCGGAGATATTAGGAGAATTAGTGTGATGTGTCCAGATGAGGAGAACTACTGGAGTGTGATGTGTCCAGAGATATTATGAGAACTACTGGAGTGTGATGTGTCCAGAGATTACTGGAGTGTGATGTGTCCACTACTGGAGTGTGATGTGAGATCTACAGAGAGAGATATGAGGAGAACTACTGGAGTGTGATGTGTCCAGAGATATTATGAGAACTACTGGAGTGTGATGTGTCCAGAGATATGAGAAGAACTACTGGAGTGTGATGTGTCCAGAGATATGAGGAGAACTAGTGTGGTGTGTTGGTGAGAAGCGACAGACTGGAAAAGAAAAAAATGGAAAATAAGAGAGAAAAAGAGAGAGAGAGAAAGTGATGGACAGGGAGGAGGAGGAAGAGTGACAGAATAATAATGAAAGACAAAGAATAGGGGAAATACTACATAAGGGAGAAACGATCAAGAGAACAAGAGAGAATTCTGTTTACTTTCTATTTAAAACTGAATAGAGTAACAAGAGGATAACTGAGGTATCCTTGTGTATCACTAAAATTCAGATTATAATTTTTGGGGGGTTATTTTTACTTTTTTTTTTTATATAGCGTCCCATTGAATTTGCCTGGAGGGGAGAGAAGTCAATCACGTCGTTTATTGAATCTGCAACAACAACAAAAAAAAGTTTAATTTAACTAAGCTAACAGTAGTGCCCAGAATCTGCATCCTAGCCTCATAGATTTTTTTTTTTTTTCGTGTTGACCAAAAGAGCGGAGGTGATTATATAAGCATTAATTTATAGGATTATTGAACACTAATATATTATATATCGTTGTTGATATAATTTTTGTATTGTTTTGAGAGACAATTGATGTAAGACGTTTGTGAGATAAGAAATTGTTTAATGTTTATTTGGTTTCTTTTATTGTAATATTTTTTTCTCTCTTGTGTTGTACAGATTAAGTAGTGAGGCGTGACTGTTGTGTGTGTGTGTGTGTGTGTTTATACAAGTGGATGTGTATGCGTTAGGTGTGTGTGTACAATGAAAGACAAAAGTCGTGTCGTGAAATTTGGTGAAAACATATGACAAAGAGCTCTAAACCTTTGGTGCGCTCTGCCATGAGGTAGGGGGGCCTCTCATATAATGTTTCACGGGTTATATTTAATCTTCGGACAAAACCGCGACACGGCTTTTGTCTTTCATTGTACATGTGCGTTATATAAGTGAGTGTGTACATGCGTGAGTGATATTTGTGTACATATGTAAGGTGTGTGTTCATTTGTGTGTTTACATGTGTATTTGCAAGTTTGGGTCCGTCTATGAACAATATACTGTCGATGTTCAGTCATAGAAGCAAAACTAGGGAAGGTGTGTTACAAGGTGTGTTACAAGGTGTGTTACAAGGTGTGTTACAAGGTGTGTTACAAGGTGTGTTACAAGGTGTGTTACAAGGTGTGTTACAAGGTATGTTACAAGGTGTGTTACAAGGTGTGTTACAAGGTGTGTTACAAGGTGTGTTACAAGGTGTGTTACAAGGTGTGTTACAAGGTATGTTACAAGGTGTGTTACAAGGTGTTACAAGGTGTGTTACAAGGTGTGTTACAAGGTGTGTCATGACCCACCTGTTGATGCCGTCGTAGCCAGCTCCCAGCCCCACGTAGTCCACCCCCGCCATGCTGCGGACATGGTTGATGTGAGCTGCCGGATAACATTACCATTACTACCATGATAGTGTGACATTATTAATATTACTACTACTACCATGATAGTGTGCCATTATTATTATTACTAATACTACTACCATGATAGTGTTTTCATGTTTACTACTATTACTACTACCATGAAAATGTACTATAATTACTACTGCCACCATGATAAGAGTACCTTTTTTACAACTACTATCATGTTAAGTGTGTCATGTTGTTATTAGTACCATGTTAAGTGTGTCATGTTGCAATTAGTACCATGTTAAGTGTTTCATTGTTATTAGTACCATGTTAAGTGTACTGAATTTACTACTAACATTAACATTATAACTTTGTTAAGTATACCATGTGTATTAGCATTCTTAACATAATGCACACTGGACTAGAATTACCATATCTTACACAGCACTATAATTAATATTGTCTATAGATATGTTAACATTATCATGGTAAATATTAAGTTAGATAATACTTGAGCTTAACACATATATACATTACCATTACTCTTACATTAATATTCCAAACTTGCTGGTAATATAATTTAGTAAAAGTAGAAAAACGTAAATAAATTGGATGTGAAGGAACTGCAGACGAGCATAATAAACAAACCTATTCAACTCTACAGTAAACATCGTCCTTGGGTCGTATACATATACTTGTTATCTATACATCCTCAGATAAATTCAGTCAAGACTCAGAATATACGACTGGAGAATATATTTGTGTATATTCCTGTTCTCCTCCACGGGATAAATCATGACCTCAGCTTAGCAGACCTTCAAGGTACGTCGGCATCCTTGTACATATCAATAACGGGTTTACCAAATTAGTAAGATCGGTTTGATTAAATTCATTGAAGAGGAAATGCAGAACAACTGCTTCAGTGACATTAGAGAGATTATAATTTTTACTTTCTCTCTGATTTTGAACTTCTATTGTGACATCGACCTTCCATTGTGACCTTGAACCTCCATTGTGACCTTGACCTTTCCTTCGTGTTGTAATTATCAGTAGTACTCACAAAATATACCAGACTTAAATTACAACTTGAATGTGGAGGAGAAAAAGACAAGGCGCAGGAGAAATCTTGTAAAATGGCAGAAGGCAATATGTTGCTCACAAGGGATACTGGGATAAAGTTGTTTTCCTGGATAACCAAGCACAGAGGAGCAATATACGCATCACAGGGGTTTCAGAATCAAGCCGGGAGACGGTCTGAAGGTTTACACAAGCCAAACTTGATTATCTGCTTAAAGGGAGGTTTTGCGAGCGCAACCTTCCAAGTGATTCTCGTGCCACTGTGATCGACCAGGTCTACTGAGACTTATATCAGTGAAGACCTTTGTCCTGTGAGTGTTGCTGTTCACCAACTACAGTACAGTGCGTCTGGCACGGCTTACTGAGGCTGAGAGAAATGGCCAGACAGATTACCTCAGCCATCCACCCTCGGCTTATCAAGAGGAACATAGCCAGAGGTGCCGTCCTGCAGCAACAGATGAACGTCACCAGTTATCCCTGAAATCCTCTTAGCAACTGAGACGCTGCCGAGGCTCACAGATGTTACAGCTGTAAGTCTCTCCTTCCTCGACACCATCTAACAGCTGAACCATCAACCCTCTCCCGGCTGTAGTGACTCACTTCAATGATTACACCATCTCTCTCCCCCTACTCAACTTCCCTCCCTAAAACAAATCTACTTAAGGAAAGATCACTCGATAGCGTCATAAGATTCACTTACAATAATAGTCGATTATCGGACAAAGGCTCACGTTACATTAAACTACGTCATCAAAGGCCAAGCATTATCTTTTCAATTTGATTTTTTCTCAAACAAATTCCAGCCAAATCGTTTAAGCACAACAACACTAATTTCTCCCTTGGCTCGTCTAATCAAGTTGGAGTTAACTTGGCAGTATGAGTTAATGACCACTCAGCGTTCCCTCCACCTCCGCTACACGGTACTGTACTGTATATTCCAACATAGCTCTCAGTGCCTGGAATAATAATTAAATTCAGTTTCAGAGCTATAACCTCTCGTCCACCTTCTAGTCATATACTTAATCTTGTTCCCTGATTCATCCTAATAAGTATTTCTGTTTGGTTCATTGGTCGAACGCTCTTAAGCAGTTTGCCCAAACACTTTGATCTGTTTTCGTTTTACATTTCCAGATTAATTAGTTCACTGAAGTGACACAACCTATCAGCTCTAGTCAACACCGAGCAGCTGCTGTGTGTATGAATGTCTTAATTACTGCATCATGAAAACTGTCACAATAGGCAGTGCTGATGTGAAGGTTGATATTTTTTTCATCATCTCAGGCCTCCGTCACAAAGCGTCACGACCAATGATGTGGAGGGACGGTAAGAGACCTCTCCCTGGTATGACAGCGCACCTTCATATCTAATCAAATTATTAATATCAACAGTCATTTTGCATGTTTGTACCGTCAACGTGTTCATGTCGCATAAACAGAAGTGACTGTAATTTATCACACAACACTGACGACGTTATCACAAACCAACACACCACCACTTTTAATGTCACATTTCATAGTTAATATTCAGATTCAAATAAATACATAAGAGCAAACAGTCGTCACACACACGCCAGGATAACAGGAAAATGACGTCAACCTTGACCAAATTACTTCTCATGCAGGATGTTAAGACCGAACTAACCCCCCCCCCCTCCCCACCCTCGTTCACCCCAAAAAATCACTTCCCGGCTCTAAGGCAGGTAAAGGAGAATGACGAGCGTTTTATATGGACCTCAAGACTTTATGCCATTTTCATTTCTTTCTCGCAGCAGTCTCTATCAGTTCTCCTCTCCCCGCTGCTAGAGAGATGACACACACACACACACACACACACACACACACACACACACACACACACACACACACACACACACACACACACACACACACACAGGAGAAAAAACTATGCCCGGGAGAGAGTCGGGGACGTATAACTTAAGAGTATACACACAATTTGCCTCCAGACATCCAGAGATAATGCATTAAACACAAAGACTCTTTATGCTACGGTACTACTGAACTAATACAAACTCTTCCGAGGCATGACTGCGTGGTAAAGAGAAGAGAACCACACGCCGCAGAACACTGTCTGCCCGGTTAAGACCCAGACATCTTGTACCATGAGAGCTTGTCGGAAGTTTACCAGCACTCATCCACATGCAAGTGGTTACACATTAAGTAGAGGTTTTGTGATCCTCGTCTACCTCTCTTATACGTTGTTTCCTCTACATCAGGATAAGAATTGATTACAAACACTTTACCCACATTGATTCTCAGGCAGGACAGCATTAAGAGGAGGAGCCGCACCTTGGCGAGCAGAGAGCGTGAGAGAGAAAACGAAGTGGGATAGAGTGCGTGAGATGTGCTTAAAAAACAAAAATTCTTGTCTCGTCTTAGAGCTGAAGTAGCAATATTTTCTTTTCGTCTTTTGCCTTTTCTCCTAACTTGTACGAAACAGTGTATATGTGTTGCTAAATCTCCTACAAAGTCTCACGGTACAACTGGGTCGGTTCCCTCCCGGGTAGTGAGTGGTCTCCAGCATGTGGCTCACTTCTCGTACTTTAAGAAAGCAATTATTAGTAGGTGACCAAAGACCCCATGTCCATTGTTGTCACATTTGCTAATCGTTTTGGGATAATATTTTGTACTCGGGTGGTGCAGTACATTACCTTGACAATAATTATATGATTGATAAAAATTACATCATATGAACATAAATGTGCTCTTGACATATTATTCTCAAAATTACTGACATCAACACCATAAAAAACATAAAATTGTGAAAAAAAAATTCAAGAATTGCATTAAAAACAGAACAAATTGTATTTCTTAACATTACTACATGAAAGCAAACAACTTTTCATCATCCATCAGTATTATCAATTCACCAGAAATCTATCAGAAATTCTTTGATATTTACAATGCATCTTAATGATGTCATCAACTCATGCAGAAGAGTCAATCTCCATCTCTTTGCTGAAAAGATTTTTGTCTTCGTCTCTCTCCCAGCCTGGAGCTGTTCCTTACTCATGAGGCAATTCTCACACACACACACACACACACACACACACACACACACACACACACACACACACACACACACACACACACACACACACACACACACACACACACACACACACACACACACACACACACACACACACACACACACACACACACACACACACACACACACACACACACACACACACACACACACACACACACACACACACACACACACACACCTCCCTTCAAACTCTACTCAGACAGTCTATGTGATAATATTTTTTTTTCAAGATATAAAGATCAATCACTTTGACACTGTAGGTAACCTTGATATATTCAGACTCGAGTTTATTACTAATATCGATATATTAGGCTGAGGCACAGATGAGGCGCAAGGTGGACAGTCACGGTCCTCCACGTCCAGTGAGACCAACACACGCGTCACACAACTTCACAAGTTCTAACGCGACGACCATGGTTGAATCTTACCTCCTCCTCTATCCTGTTCACACCTCCATCCTGCCCACACCCCACTTACTAAACCTGATGAAGTGCTGTATGAAGGGACAATGTTGCCCTGTTTATGGTATAGTGCTGCTGTGCTGAAATTCTTTCGTACCACACACTGTACCATCGTAGTGCACCACCACACACTGTACCACCGAAGTGCACCACCACACACTGTACCACCACACACTGTACCACCGTAGTGCACCAGCAAACACTGTACCACCACACACTGTACCACCACACACTACCATCGTAGTGCACCACCACACACTGTACCACCATACACTGTACCACCGTAGTGCACCACCAAACACTGTACCACCGTAGTGCACCACCACACACTGTACCACCGCAGTGCACCACCACACACTGTACCACCGTAGTGCACCACCACACACTGTACCACCGCAGTGCACCACCACACACTGTACCA